TCCCCCCCAGCACCATCCCTTGGCCCTAAAAAACCACGAATCCACTTTCCATACATTAAAATTTCCATACCTTAAAGGATGGTACAGGTTCTTACTTCATAGAGTAGTATCACCCCTATTTACAGATAGGGCAACTGAGACCCAGAGAGGTGAATGTCTTACTGCTATTAAAAAGTGGACTCTATTACTCCATCTAAGGCAAGAACAGAGGTGACAACAAACTTTTTCTGTAAAGAGTCAGATAGCAAATATTTTAAGCTTTATGGACCATATAGTCTCCATTGCAGCTACTCATTTCTGCTGTTGTAGAGGGAGTGTCGGCATAGACAGTACGTAAACAAATTGATGTGTCTGTGTTCAAATAAAACTTTGTCTATCGCCTGTAATCCCAGCACTTTGGGAGGCCGAGTTGGGTGGATCACGAGGTCAGGAGTTCAAGACCAGCCTCACCAAAGAGACCAGCCTGGCCAACATGGTGAAACCCTGTCCCTACTATAAATACAAAAATTAGCCGGGCATGGTGGCAGGTGTCTATAACCCCAGCCGCTTGGGAGGCTGAGGCAGAAGAATTGCTTGAACCTGGGAGGTGGAGGTTGCAGTGAGGTGAGATGGCACCATTGCACTCCAGCCTGGGCAACAGAGCGAGAATCCAGGTCAAACAAAACAAACAAACAAAAAAAACCCACTTTATTTACAAAAACAGTTGAAGGGCCGGATTTGGCCTGCAGGCTCTAGCTTGTCAATCCTGGAATTAAACCATTACCGAAAGTCTCACATTTACCTGGACAACCCCCACCCCTAATTCCTTCTTCTGCTTCCCTAGATCCATCCCTGGAGATGGTCATTACCCTGAAGTTTGTCTTTATTGCTCTCTGACTTAAAAAAATTTTTTTTGCTTACCTAAGCTGTGTGTTGTCAAAACAATGTGTAATCTTCTTTTACTGGGTTTGAGCTTTCAAAATATCATCATACGGTGTGTGGTCTTGGGCTTTTAAAAATCCAGTCTTGGCTGGGCACGGTGGCTCATGCCTGTAATCCCAGCACTTTGGGAGGCCAAGGCGAGTGGATCATGAGGTCAAGAGATCAAGACCATCCTTGCCAACATGGTGAAACTCCGTCTCTACTAAAAATACAAAAAATTAGCTGGGTGTGGTGGCAGGCGCCTGTAATCCCAGCTACTTGGGAGGCTGAGGAAGGAGAATCGCTTGAACCCAGGAGGCAGAGGTTGCAGTGAGCCAAGATCGCGCCACTGCACTCCAGACTGAGCAAAAAAACCGAAACTCCATCTCAAAAAAAAAAAAAATCAATCTTATGTTTCTAACATTTATGAATGTGGCCATCGTGCTTCATTTTCATCACTGTGTGTAAAATACTTCACGGGGTGAGTATACTACAATCCTGTAAACACTCTCTCCTTGATGGACATGTAGGACAATTTATTTGCCATTATAAACAATTATAAACAATTCCTCTAGAAGCAGAATTGCTAGATTAGAGAATTAAAAAGCTTTTTATGTATTTATTGTTTATTTATTTTCGAGACAGGATTGCCTAGGCTGGTCTCGAACTCCTGGGCTCAAGCAATCCTCCCACTGAGACCTCTCAAAATGCTGGGATTACAGACATGAGACACTGGCGCCTGGCTTTTTTTGTTTGTTTGTTTTTAAAGATGCCTGAGACATGTAAGTTACACAGAGTCTGGAGTGAGCATGACTTCCTGGTAATTTTCACCATTTCTAGCTTTGTCATCTTGGGCAAATTGCTATGTCTGTTGCTGAATCCTCTTTTCTTTGCAGGGGTGGGGTGCCTATGTGAAATGAAGATAATAATGATATCCACCTCCTCATGTTGTTGTGAGGATTAAATGAGATAATCCCTATAAATCTGTTATTAGCACATTGGTAGCAAAGTTTAGGAATTTAAGGAGTTTTCTCCTCACTCTGTATTTGTCATGTGACTTCTCCCCACTAGGGCTGCAAAGTCAGTAACGGCAGTGCTAAAAGAAAAACTTGAGAGGGGGGAGGGATTGCATTGGGAATTACACCTGATGTAAATGATGAGTTGATGGGTGCTGACGAGTTAATGGGTGCAGCATGCCAACATGGCACAAGTATACATATGTAACAAACCTGCACGTTATGCACAGGTACCCTAGAACTTAAAGTATAATAATAATTAAAGAAAAAAAAGAAAAAAGAAAAACTTAAGCCGAATTAATTTAAAATGAGTTTAATTGAACAATGCATGATTCGCCACTCAGGCAGCCCCCAGAATCACAGCAGATTTAGAGGGACTCTGGGGATGCCCCCTGGTCAGAACAAATGTATAGACAAAGAAAGGGAAGTGCCGTACAGAAATCGGCAGTGAGGTACAGAAACAGCTGGATTGGTTACAGGCTGGTGTTTGCCTTATTTGAACACAGTTTGAACACTTAGCAGTCTCTGAGTGGTTGAAGTATGGCCGCTGGGATTGGCCAAGACTCAACTATGGTAATTGTTACAGGTGCATGCTCCTAAATTAGGTTTTCAACCTTGTCTGCCTGTTAAGGTAGGTTACAGTTGGTCCACAGGGACTCAAATATAGAAGTATGGAGTCCTTCTCAGGCCGTATTTAGTTTGCATTAACAACAAACTGGGTACTTTATCTCAGAAACATCAGTATCCACCATATGTCAGTTTTCAAATAAGGGTATATGAATGAATGAAATGATGAATGAAGGAATTGGGTGAATGTGATCAGAACTGTGGCCCTGCCAGCTGCAGACACAGGTGTCAATGACCTGGGTATCATGGTTTTGAGCATCAGGGTGAGGAAGGTGGGGAGGCACAGCCAGCGTAGGCCTCCCTCTGATTGGGTGGAGTGACTGCTTTGGGTCTGACCACATTAGTCATAAGTAATTCCCTGGACTTCTGCCTTGGAGGAAGCCATGCAGGTTTGCTGAGGGAGGCCCTCACAGTCTGACTCTTGGATATGGAGAGTCTGTGAGCTGCTTCTTTCCACTTGTGAGTAGCAGGTGAGCTGCAGAAGAACTAACCTGTATTAGTCCGTTCTCACACTGCTATGAGAAATACCCAAGACTGGTAATTTATAAAGGAAAGAGGTTTAATTGACTCACAGTTCCACATTTCTGGGGACGCCTCAGGAAACTTATAATCACGGCAGAAGGCAAAGGAGAAGCAGGCACCTTCTTCACAGGGTGACCGGATGGAGTGAGTGCCAGATGATTATATAACCATCAGATCTCGTGAAAAACCATTATCACGAGAATAGCATGGGGGAAAGCACTCCCATGATCCAATTACCTCCACCTGGTCCCCTTGACACGTAGTGATTATGGGAATCATGTGGATTACAACTCAAGATGATATTTTGGGTGGGGATACAACCAAACTGTATCACTCACTATCACAAAGGAACACAGCAAGACACCTGCTACTCACTTGCAGGTCACATAAGCCACTATCATTAAAGTACATTGTCACTAAAGGCCAATTACCATTAAGTCAATTACTTTTCAGAGGCCAGAGAACATCAGTAGGAACTTCGTTGTGTCTTGGGATTTTATAAACGTATCCAGATAGACACACGTATATAATTTCTTAATACAAACACATTACTCTGTGGGTTTGTATGTCCCTTTTTAAAATTTATGTCCGATCTTAGAAATACTATAGAACAAAATGTTCTACCAGTAAAGTTTTAATATTTTGATAATGACCTTTTAAAATGCAGGTTTTCACTTTAACAAGATAATTCTGTTTCCTGGGATTTTCGTTTTAAAAGTACAACCAGCCGGCTGGGCGCAGTGACTCACGCCTGTAATCCCAGCACTTTGGGAGGCTGAGGCGGGAGGATCACAAGGTCAGGAGATCGAGACCATCCTGGCTAACACGGTGAAACCCCATCTCTACTAAAAATACAAAAAATTAGCCGGGCATGGTGG